GTCCAGCCCGACCCCGGACCTCCCGCAGGAGGCCAACGCGAGCGCCAACGCGTCGCTGCCGCTCGGGGGCCGGTGGTGGGAGTTGGGGCTACAGCCGCCGGGGGGCGCGGCGCCCGGGCGCCCCCCAGGCGGCGGGACAGAGCGCGCGGACCCCGAGGCCCTGGTGCTGACCCTCCTCAGCGTGGTGTACTGGGTGGTTTGCGCCCTGGGGCTGGTGGGCAACCTGCTGGTGCTCTACCTGATGAAGAGGAAGCGGGGCTGGCGCAAGTCCTCCATCAACCTCTTCGTCACCAACCTGGCGCTGACGGACTTGCAGTTCGTGCTCACCTTGCCCTTCTGGGCGGTGGAGAACGCGCTCGACTTCAGGTGGCCCTTCGGCAAGGCCATGTGCAAGATCGTGTCCCTGGTGACGTCCATGAACATGTACGCCAGCGTCTTCTTTCTCACCTCCATGAGCGTGGCGCGCTACCGCTCGGTGGCCTCGGCTCTGGAGAGCCACCGGACCCGGGGACGCGGCCGCGGCCACCGCTGCGGCTTCTCGGCCAAGGCGCTGTGCGTGCTGATCTGGGCCTCGGCCCTGCTGGCCTCGCTGCCCAGCGCCTTCTTCTCCACCACGGTCCCGGTGATGGGCGAGGAGCTGTGCCTCGTGCGCTTCCCGGACAAGTTGCTGGGCGGCGACAGGCAGCTCTGGCTGGGCCTCTACAACTTGCAGAAGGTGCTGCTGGGCTTCCTGCTGCCGCTGGGCATCATCAGCCTGTGCTACCTGCTGCTGGTGCGCTTCATCTCCGACCGCCGCCTGGCGGGCACCCAGGAAGGGGCCCCGGCGGCGGGGAGAGGCCCGGCGGCAGCCAGCGCCCGGCGACGGTCCAAGGTCACCAAGTCGGTGACCATCGTGGTCCTGTGCTTCTTCCTGTGCTGGCTGCCCAACCAGGCGCTCACCACCTGGAGCATCCTGATCAAGTTCGACGTGGTGCCCTTCAGCCAAGAGTACTTCGTGTGCCAGGTGTACGCGTTCCCCGTGAGCGTGTGCTTGGCGCACTCCAACAGCTGCCTGGACCCCGTGCTCTACTGCCTGGCGCGCCGCGAGTTCCGCTCGGCGCTCAAGAGCCTGCTGTGGCGCATCGCCGCGCCCTCGCTCACCAGCCTGCGCCCGCTCGCCGCCGGCGGGCCGGGGCCCGAG